GATATATTTTTAAAGCTTTTCATTAATATGAATGTAAATATTTCATCATTGCAATCCATTAAATACTTAAAGATATTTTTTTCTGCTGCTGTACTAGTGAACTAGGTGTTGCTTAGCTATTTGAACTTCAGCAACGTCTTGGTTCAGAGGTCAAGATGTTTCTGTGAAACTTTAAAATAATATTAAGAAGAAACCTGGATTGAATAACATGTCAAACAATTGAATCATTTAGCTAGATTTAGTATTTAGAGCCCTACATTTTGAAAAGGTAAGGTAAAACATTTTTGGTTAGAAGTTCACAAAATGCTGGGTTTTTTTCCATGTATGATGAGTAAGACCGAGGCTATTTTGATGGTTGTTCTTACGGGATTTGAGAATGGATGAGTCCTTCCTAAGCAAGCCTGCTGCCCCAAGGAAATCACCGATACAGGAGCACGTGATGTTTGATCGGTCTACTGGGACCAATGATATTAGTCAGGGTAAGCTAAGCTGCTGTAACAAAAGACCCAACAAGAATGTGACTTGATGTACAAAAATATCTACCACTTTCCTGTATAGCAATTTGAGGTACATGTTCCAGGTCATAGGTAGCTGTGCTCCAGGCATTCAGAAACCCAGGTGGGGCACCCAACTTCCACGATTACTCTGGTCACAGCCTTCCAGCCAGCTGGAAAGAAGGGAAGCCAGGCAGAGGTGCTAAACATCACTTCCGCTAACATTTCCTGGCAAGAACATCACCACAGAACCACACTTAGCTCCAGGAGGCTAGGGAATGTGTTCTAATCATTCGCCCAAGACGAAGGGAAGGATGATTTGGGGAACCTGCTGGCCGTCTCCATCCCACCAACTGTCATGGTGTGGTTGTCAACTTCTTGGTCTCTAGTCTCTGTTCTGTAACTGGGGTTTTAATTTCATCATGTGTTTATGATATTATTCAGTTTAACGAATCCCCACATTTATATCATGTTGACTTGGCTCTGTGACTAAAAGAATTTTAACATGGTTCTCCCAACGGGACTGACTAAAAAACACGTCCTAACATTTCAAAGTGAAAATGAAAAATTCCAACCTGAAATTTCTTTAAAATGGAGAAGTGAGCTTCCCAAGATAAAACAACTGATCATTTTTTTGAGCAGTGTGCAATTTCTACATTCTTCCTTTTTCCTCAGCATTCCAGTGCAGGATAAGATGTCAAATGTGAGCCTCTGATACGAGGCTCTAATTCAGCAACACCACTCATAAAAATTATAGTTATTTGGGCTTCCCTGGTGGTGCAGTGGTTGAGAGTCCGCCTGCCGATGCAGGGGACACGGGTTCGTGCCCTGGTCTGGGAAGATCCCACATGCCGCGGAGCGGCTGGGCCCGTGAGCCATGGCCGCTGGGCCTGTTCGTCCGGAGCCTGTGCTCCGCAGCGGGAGAGGCCACAACAGTGAGAGGCCCGCGTACCGCAAAAAAAAAAAAAAAAAAAAAATTATAGTTATTTGACTAAAAAGACCCCCCAGACAACTACAGGAAGAAAACCTCCAATTGAACTAATATGAAACCCATCTGCTAATTGGCGGTGGGGGTGAGAATAAAGTTTCTAAATTATAAAAAAGACCCCCCAAATCACTATTTTTGTTTTCATAGTTTGTATATTATTTTTAATAATAAAAATGTAAAATAAAAGATGTTTAATCTATTTTGCTATTATTTTGTTACTAGTAAAATGGATTTAACTCTTCTAATTATTGTGAGGAGGGGTTGAGGGAGGTTCTGTTGTAAAGCAAAAAAAATTACAATTCAAGTTTTGATTATTTTACATATCAGTGAATTAATCTGTGAGATTAATGTTTGCTACTTACTTCAGTCCAAATGTACCTTATAAGTCCTGGTTAATATTTCTTTGATCCTTAAAAATTTGTAAATATATATCATTAAATTTAATATTACTTTAACTTCATAGAAGAAAAAGAAACTGATATAAAACTGAAGGTTTTGAGGACCTCCCTGGTGGCACAGTGGTTAAGAATCCGCCTGCCAATGCAGGGGACACGGGTTCGAGCCCTGATCCGGGAAGATGCCACATGCTGTGGAGCAACTAAACCCGTGCGCCACAACTACTGAGCCGGCACTCTAGAGCCCGCAAGCCACAACTACTGAAGCCCACGCACCAGAACTACTGAAGGCTGCGCGCCTAGAGCCCGTGCTCCGCAACAAGAGAAGCCACCGCCATGAGAAGCCGGCGCACCGCAACGAAGAGTAGCCCCCGCTTACCACAACTAGAGAAAGCCCGCACGCAGCAATAAAGACCCAACATAGCCAAAAATAAATATTTTAAAAAAATAATAAAAAAATAAAACTGAAGTTTTAGTAAACTTTAGGTAACTGTTACTTTCCAAGAAGAAATATTAATTCCTAAGACCCTCTAGAGTTTAAAAACATATGAAGCACCTTCAAAGCTTGGAGGTCATTACGATTTGTTTGCTCCTTCCCTGCACGTGTGCTCGTTCTCTGAGCTGGGCCGGATTGCACATCTTGGCCTCGTTTTCCTTTTACGGCTTTACTCTTGAAGTGTGGGCACTAACTGTCCTCTTCTCCTTCCCTTTCTGAATAATTCAGCTAAAGCTTTCTGGTGGAGCAAAGGAGGGGAGACAACTGTGTGTCCGGTGGGAGGTGACACTGTAGCCCAGAGTTGGGGGGCGGTCACAGCCCAAAGGGGGTGAGGACGGTGTCTTTATGGGGAGACCATCCAAGATGAGGAGTCAGGGTCCAAGCAGAGCGGAGCAGGGGTCCCCACAGGGAGAAACCCAGTGGGGGGAGTCAGAACCTGATCAGGTGGGGGGGTCCACAAAGACAGGCAGATACACTAGTGTTATCAGAGTCCACGTTGGGGGGAGGGGGCTGACACCTAGTGCTGGTGGCAAGGTTGTCAGAGCTCACACAAGGGGAGGAGGTCATTCCCAAGGGGAACGACTTGGGATGGGGGTGCAGCACCCAAGCAGGGTCAGAAGGACATCCATGGGGGCGGGGGGGTGACCTGGTAAGAGCTGTCAGAGCCTGATCAGGCGAGGGGGCCATTCCCTCAGAGTCTGGGGGTGGGCTCAGAACAGGGATTCAGAGCCTGAGCAGGCAGAATAGGGTACCTGTGTGGGGAAAGGGATGGCGGCAGAGATGAGAGACTGGTAACATACAGGGGGACTGATCAAATGTAAACAGACAAGGGCTAACGAAGCCAATTTCCCACCATCAGGGAAGAGAGTTACCAACACATACAGAAAAGGAAAAAAACTAGAATTCAATCCTGTGGTGCTCAGGTGGATTTGGGATGTTGGGATGTATCAGTGTGAACTCATGGTTTCCAATATGTATAGATGGATACAGAAATATAAAGGGTGTGTGTGTGTGGGGGGGTGTACATGCATGTATTCCTCACCTCTGTCCCTAGCTCTGTTCATTGGGGGAGCCTAGGAGTAGTGCCACCCCAATAGCAATGAGCATATCTTGGCATCAAAACACTATTTCCCTCTGAAGGAACCCGGACTCTCTGGATTAATGGCTGATTCCAGGGCTGGGACAGAGAAAGTACAAGATGAGCCTGGAAGAATCTCCTTATGCTCCCAAAGCAAAGAAGTACAGAAAGAATGATGGGGATGTGTCAAAAGGACACAGAAGCCACCTTGAATGGACTCGCGGTGGACAAACAGGAGACAGTTTGAGCACTGAAATAAATGACAGCGATAGATTATAACCCAGTGAAAAAGATAGAAAATCCTGAGTCTGTACACACAAATAAATGAATAAATTGAAAGTCTGATGTGTAACACGATATTTACTTCTTATCACCAAGTCCTTACTTATTACAAAGAGGGTTAGGGTTAGGGTTATAGTGACTGTAAAGTGGGGGCCCCTGGGAGACACCACCTGGATCAAGGGATTAAAGTGAACATCGTCAATTCTGTATTTGGAACATCACAGTGGCAGCTACTCTTCCATGGTTTGTGGGGGGGAGTTATTTATATTATACTTCCAATTTTTCTGTAAGTTTATTTCAAAACTATACGATAATCACTGTAGCCAGGCAAAGTCTCCAGCTTAATAACAGGGACAGCCCGGCAGATAACAGGAATTGCCGCACTCATCCCATGGTTGAAATGTTTCCACAATGAGCATAAGCCTGCTCTGGAATCGTAAAAGATAATCCTGTCACATTTCGATAAAGTATTTCACTCGTGGAAAGAGATCAGTTCATGCTTTTCTCTGCAAACTCTGGTACTTAATCTGGAAACCACTCTTGGTCCATGTGCAGCCTTTCAAAGCCCTTTTCAGAGATCATAATTACCTTTCTTAGAGAATATCAGAATGTTCTTAGAGAATTATCAACAACACATATCGGAACCATGAATTGCTTTGGCTTGCCTGGATGGTTCTTCCTTTTGTCAATATTTTCACTTGCTTTCTAATATCTTTTAAATTGTATTTTACTATAACTACATGATTACATGAATCTCCACTTAGCAAAACACAGTCAACCATTTCGTGAAAATCAGAAGATAGCTCTGATCTCTAACAGGGAAGGGACTTCCCTGGCAGTCCAGTGGCTAAGACTCTGCGCTCCCAATGCAGGGGGCCCAGGTTCGATCCCTAGTCGGGGAACTACATCCCACGGGCTGCAACTAAGAGTTTGAATGCTGCAACTAAAGATCCCACACATGGCAGCAAAAGTCCTGAGTACCCCCAACATCGAAAACCAAAGTCCACATTTTAGTAATGATCCTTCTTTTGGGTTTTTTTTTCCCACAAATTTATTTATTTTTGGCTGCCTTGGGTCTTCATTGATGCGCACGGGCTTTCTCTAGTCGTGGCGAGCAGGGGCTACTCTTCGTTGCGGTGCGCGGGCCTCTCATTGTGGTGGCTTCTCTTGTTGTGGAGCACGGGCTCTAGGCACGTGGGCTTCAGTAGTTGTGGCGCATGGACTTAGCTGCTCCGCGGCATGTGGGATCTTCCCGGACCAGGGCTCGAACACGTTGTCCCCTGCACTGGCAGGCGGATTCTTAACCACTGCACCACCAGGGAAGTCCCCAGTAATGATCTTTTAAGAGAAAGACACATCTGGTGGCAAAACATCTTATAAAATGACAACTCACATGCAGGAACCCAGAGCATCGTGGTGAAATAATTATGGCTAGTACTGATTATAAATCTTGGGAGAGTATTCATGAGTTCTGAGTATGGAGACCCCACCCGGATGCCCACTAGACTTTTTAAAGGGATCCGTGGTCAGACAGCTTTAGGAAATTCCCGTCCAGGACCAAGACTGCTCCCCCACACTCCTGGCATGACCTTGCCCCCCATCTTGTGTGGCACCTGCCCACTCCTCCGGGAGCTGCAAGTCTGGGGAAGGACCTCAGTTTCACAGTGACACCAGTTTATGAAACTCTAGCTGAGACCACTGCCAAGAAGTGCTTGCTCACCCTCCTTCAACGGCAGGGGGAATCTCCCTCCCCTTTTCAGGGGAACGCTGAAGAAAGGATTCATACACGAACCCCAATCTTCTCACCAACCCCGGCCCACACCTCCCAGCAACTGAACTTAAAAAAAAAAAAAAAAAAAGCTGGTTAAAACCACTTCCTATATTTGAGACTAGAGAAGAGAGTGGTAGGCACGATTTCCTGACTGAACAAACCAGGCTAATACTTATAGAGAGCAAGTGCTGACTGTCCTAGAGACGGATGGACCAGCGAGGATGACAACCTGGGCGGATTGATCCTTCCCCAGCCTCCCAGCGCGACGCCAGCAAGAGGCTGAAAGGAAACCCAGCATTCTGCAGAGAAGTACCTTTTCTTCCTGGCCCTCACATCGGCAGCTGATCCCAGGGGCCCGGACGATGGAGCCAGGCTTGCTGATGTGGGGATTCTTCGTATTCATCGTCGTACCTGGCTGCGTGACAGGTAAGGGGTCACTGGTGTCCTCGGAGTCCTGGGAAGGCTAAGGATGTCGACTCTCCCCAGCCACAGAATCCGAGAGGCACCTAAGTAGAAAGTACGGGGAAGGGGGTTGAATCCTGGGTTCTACCCCTATGTCCACAGCCCACCGGGGGCCCATTTTATGCCTCAATTATCGCCGACCTATAAAGAGAACTTGGAACGGTGGGCTCTCTGTCGCTCAAAGTCTTTGACGGCTGATTCTGGGAAGAATAGGGTGATGTGATATTTGAATGTTAGCATACTAATGAGCAGAGTCCTCAAGAACTTGGATTTTCCACTGAATTCAGTTTTCCACTGCACCCACAAAGCTGTAAGATAATACCAAGAATCTACTAGGAGTCTAAGACCAGGTGAATGTCTGGCAGACATTACTAACTCATATATGAAACATTGGGATCATTTAAGATCTCAGAAGAGTTAAGCCTCAAGGATGTATACTTTGTTTTTTACTGTCTCAGGAAATAATACCTAGGAAGTTTCTTATATGTGTAACTTTATAGAAGTTTAAAAAAAATAAGCATATCACTTTCAGAACATTAATTCTTATGTTCTTATGTGTATATATGCATGTATGTATGTGTGTGGATATATACATATATATATATATATATATGAAAGTTTTGAATTCCTTTCATCCTTTCAAAAGGGTTTGTCAGTTTTTTTTTTAAGCAATAAGAAACCACCAACTTCTACCTCAAACCTCCTTCTTAATTGAGTGTGAACTTTCTAATAACATCTTCCCTTGCTTATGCAGGAAAACAGGTAAGATATCAGAGTCTATGATTTTATATCCTTCGTTTCTAGATATATAATGGTGCTAAGTGGTCACAGAAAGATACGTTAAGAAGTGAAACAGGGTGATGCATAAGGAGTCTTTTTTGCTTGTTTAGGGGAAATGACCAAGTCACTGGGCTGTGAAGTGACCCAGGTGTAGGATCTTCTTTACTTTAAAGTGAAAAGTGGGCGTGATTTTAGGAAGGCTCATAATGAGATTTCTACCTCCACAGGGTCTTTGCAAAGTGGGAGGTCAAGCCAAGCCAGAACAGAAAAGTCTTTACAGTTAATCATGCCTCATCTCTGGGAAACACATTTCAAGTAAACGCGTGTTATTGCCAGCCGATGATGACTTATCTGAAGATTTGAATGGTCTTGTAGCAGTGAGGCCTCCTTCATACACTCGCCTCTTCAAAAATCTATCCAATACGTCTTGTTCCCCTTTTCAACACTGTAGGAAATACTAAAATGAACAAGACATAGCCTCACTCCTTAAGAGACATATAACCTAGTAAGGGGAAGAAAGGCATAGATATAATAACAGCAGTATGGGTGGAATGGGATAAGATCTAGGGGAGCAGGGGTATATCAGGGAAAGCTTCCTGAAAGCAGCAGCAAAAAGTGCCCTGAGGGGGCAGTGAATTTCCCTGAGTGGAGATTCCAGATAGAGAGGCCCACAGGAGCAAAGACACAGCAGAGCATCAGGGAACAGCCCCCAGCCTTGGACGGGGATGTGGGGTTGCTGGGGATTGAGACTGGAAAGGTAGGATGGCGTCAAATGAATGACCCAAGGCCTTCGTAACAAGTTTAAAAATTTAAACTTCATTTGGGAGTCAATAAAAGACTACTAGAAAGTAAAAATGACCATTTATAGAGTACCTTCTATGTGCCAGACGTGTAAGTCTTCTTTTCCTCTTCATAGCCCCTTTGCAAGGTGGATGTCACCAACCCATGAGATGAAGAAGACCTCAAAACTCAGAGGTCACACAGGCAGTGACAGAGCCAGGACTCAAGCCCAGTTTTCTCAGCCATGTGCTCTTTCTGGTCCCTGCAGACAGGGTCCGAGCTCTACAGAGATGATTCCGTAGAGAGAGTAAGTGCACAGACAGGGCATGAAATGGTCCCATCCAGAGGCAAGTGAGGACTTGGTAGCTAAAGAGAATGATACGGGCTGAGTTTCTGGGATCCACATATGGCTTAGGAACCACTCCAGGGTGAGAAATAATCTCATCTCAGGCTTTTTCCTCCCTGGGGAACCCAGTCTTCAAATAAACAAATCTTTTTATTCCTCAGAAGGGAGAGTTGCTAACGAAATCAATCAGACTGTCAACAGATGCAATTTCTAGCTGATTCATAAGGCAGATTTTCAGTCTGAAAATTTCCAAAGCCACCATTTAAAATTGTGATGGGTGACAGGGGATGTATTAGTCAACGTGAGTGTTTTGAGTCTCTGTATTACTGGGTCCTGGGATGTGGTTGAAAAGAGAATTCTCCTGATGTTGCCAACAGGCACGTTATTGAAGGTGCCTTTCTCAGCATTGTGGAAATTCTGAGAGTTTATCTATGCCTTGATCATCTTTCTTTCATTCTAGGAATTCTGTGATCAAATCTTCATGCCCTAGACTCAAAAAAAAACAATGCAGAAAACCATTAAGATGATATTTTTGTCTAATTATCCTTTCTTGTAAAGATGACTGCCCACACTGGAATTTCCATCTTCACATGTATCATTAAAACACAAAATGTTTAACTCTTCATATTTAATCATTCAATTTCTCTAGATCCCAAGGTGTTATTACCACTGTTTCCTTGCTCATCTTTAAGATGTACTTTGGAG